GGCTGAAACGTCTAGAGCTGGGCTGGCCTGAAACTGTGAGCCAACAGCTTCTTCCAGATCTCCCATGTGGGTGTAGGGGCCCAAAACTTAAGCCATCCTCCACTGCTTTCCTAAGTCGTAATCAAGGGGCTGGATAAGAAGTGGAGCAGCTGGGACTCAGACTAGGACCCATATGGGATGTCAGCACAAAAGAGCCCTAACCATTGCAGTTATTTGAGGAGTGAACCAGTGGATGGAGGACTTCTCTCTGTGTCTTCTTCTCTATGACTCTGCCTTTAAAAAAAAATTTTTTTGTTCTGTTTGTTTATATAAAGCGAACAGATTTCACGTTTTTCACGGTACAGATTTAAGAGCATAGTGATACTTCCCATCAAACTCTCCCTCCTGCCTGCATTCCCCACCTACCCCTCCTTCTTTCTTTCTTTTTTTTTTCCCCCTTTTACAATGACAGACTTTCATTTCACTTTGCACTCAACAGATTTAACACCTTATTGGGTAAAGGTAACACATAGCAAGGAAAAAATTAAAAAAACAAAAACACAAACCTATTCCTCGGGAGTATAGATGAGGGCTGTAAGCAATATTCAAATCTCAGAATGTTGATCTCACTCACATAGATTACATTTTTATTGCTGTCTATGAATAAGTTATCACAAATCAGGAAAAACATGATATTTGTCTCTATCGGACTGATTTATTTCATTAGGCATAATGATTTCCAAATGCAAGCATTTAGTTGGATAAGACAAGATTTCATTTTTTTATGACTGGAAATGCTTTCAATTTATTAAAATAAATCTTACAAAAAATAAAAATGTAAAACTTGCCTGCCAGACACATCTTAGAGCTTGTTAGGGAGCAAGTCAGTCAGCTTTGACTACTTCTATATCAGAACTGTCTGTAAAGGAGGTGATACAGGACACTGAGTTGCTAGGATATAGCCAGGAGGAAAGGAAGGGTTGGCACTGTAAGGGTGGGTTGCTTCTGGCTAAGGGGCCTTTAAGCAGGAGGAAGCTAAGTATAAGCCTCTGTGACTTAAATTTGAAATAGGGAACATTCAGTAAAAAACACTTGCTGGCAGAGGGTGTTTGTACTGAAGACTAATAGAAAAATGAATGAGATGATGAAGATGATAATACTTAGTGTTTTTTGATACAATGTACCAGATACTCTTTGTTGGAAATATTTGTTTATATGAAAGGTAGAGTTACACAGAATAAGGGAGAAAGCTCTTCCTTCCATCTCTGCTGGTTTTACTCCCCAAATGGCCTCAAGGGCCCAGGCTAAAGCCAGCCAAAAAGCCTGAAGCTAGAACTCCAGCCAGGTCTCCCATATTGCTGACGGGATCCAACTACTTGGGTCACCATCTGCTGCATTCTTAGGTACATTAGCAGGAAGCTGGACCAGAAGAGTAGCAGCTGAGATTCAGACATATGCTGGAATCTCAAGCAGAAGCTTGACTCACTGTGCCACAATGCCAGTGCCCCAGGTACTGTTGTGTAGTAACTCTAATCCTTCCAGTGATGAAGTAACATAGATACTGTTTTATGGATATAGAAACTGATGCTCAGCAAGATTAACAGTTGGAGTGGACAGTGATATAGACACCATTTGAGATCTCAGCATCCTGTATCAGAATACTTGAGCTTTGAGTTCCTGTTCCCATTCTGATCCCTGCTTGCTGCTACTGCACGCCTGGGAGGCAGCAATAGCACTCAAGTACTTGGGTCCCTACTATCCACTTTGGAGTCCCAGATTTGATCAGTGGGCTCCTGTTGTTTGGCCTGTTGTAGACATTTGGGGAATGACTTAGTGGATGGAAAATCTTTTTCTGTCATAATACTGCAAATAAATAAAAACAAAATAGATCCCTCCCCCCCCCCAAATATTATATAAAAGAGGAAAATAAAGGCACAGAATGATTTAGTACATTTCCTAAAGTCAAGGCACAAAGTGAGTGACCAAGCTGAATTCAGACATCTCTGATTCTAAGTTCTTGTCACTGTGCAACACTGCCAATCTTTACGCTTTAGTAATCCTATATTTAGGGCTGGGACCATGATGTTATAGGTTAAGCCACGACCTGTGGTGCCAGCATGCCATGTGGATGCCAGTTTGAATTCTGGGTGCTCCAGTTTGGATTCAGTTCCCTGATAGTGCACCTAGGAAAGCAGCAAAAGCTAACCCAAGTGCTTGGGCCCCTGCACCCAAGTAGGAGACCCAGAAGAAGCTCCATACTCCTAGCTTTGGACCAGCTCAACTGGCCATTTGGGGAGTGAACCAGCAAATGGAAGATCTCTCTCCCATCCACTTATTAGCCAGGCCCAACCCTGGTTAGCTTCCCTTCTCTCTGTAAATATGCTTTTCCAATACAATAAACAAATATTTTAAAATATGTATTTATTTTTATTGAAGGCAGATCAGATTTACGGAGAGGAGAAACAGAAAGATCTTCATGCACTGGTTTACGACCCATGCGACCACAACAGCCAGAGCTGAGCTGATCCAAAGGCAGGAGCCAGGAGTTTCTTCCAGGTCTCACTCATGGGCAGAGGGTCCCAAGGACTTGGGCCATCCTCTGTTGCTTTCCCACACCGTAAACAGGGAACTGAATCAGTAGTGGAGCAACCTGGATACAAACCCTCCATATGAGATGTGGTGTTAGCATGCGGAGGATTAGTCTGTTGAGCTACTGTACCAGCTACCTTCTCAATATTATCTTTAAATGAAAATGATGTTGATCTTACATAGTAAGAAAGATTATTTGAGATTCTGTATAAGAACAGATTATGAGACTGGTGACACTGAGCCTCCCCATGTGGCTTAAGCAGCCCATATGGCCCTGATTCAAGTCTTAGTTGCTTCACTTCCCATCCAGCACCCTTTTAATGCACCCAGTACAAGCCTGAGATTTGGCTTATAGCTGAAGTTATCTCATATTAGAATGACACCTAAAAAAGAGAAGATGACTCCATTAAGAAAACAGAGAGAGCAGTAGCCTGTGTATGAATTAATTTCTGTAGGTATAGTTTTTAAATTTTGTTTGCTTGTTAATAAATGAAAGTATTGTTTATCAGTTTCTTGCTCTTCCTTATTTAAGTTGTAAAACACTTACACAATATCTTCTGAGCGTAACTCTGGGAAAGTGCTCTTTCCAAGAGACACGGTCATAAGGGTGATTAGGTCAGTAGAACTTGTCTTTTCTGGTGGTCCTGATTCTAACCAAATTCTCTTTTTCTTGATTGCGGGCCAACAGCAAAAGGCATCACGAAGTCCACAGAAGCAGCAGCCAGCCTTAGATGGGGAGGTAAGTTTCCTTCATCCGTTTTTCTTTGGAATTTAATGTTTTTGCAATGAAGCGAAAGGTTTTGGGGGTGATTAGCGAATTTTCAGTGATCAGAATATGGCTATTTTTTGGAATCTGTAGATTGGGGTACTTCTCTGCCATACGCCACCATCTAGAGATGATGATAGCCCTCCCCTCCCCTTCCTGGTGAGCTCCCATCACATCCCGTCCATTTTGGAAGCTTGCTGTGTAATGAGGTGCCGTGCTGAGGGCTGGTCTGACCCGTGTGCTTTATGACAACCTTAAACATCCTGCATGGTCGCTCAGCTTCAGTGGTCATTTCACTGTTACCAGTTGCACTTTGTTTGCATTAGTCTTATAATATCAAGTCATATTTCATTGCAAGTTAACAGAAATTCATTGCTTAACCTTTTTAACATGTGCACACCTATTTGACTTATCAAAGTGATTAGATGAGTATTATCAACATTCTCATGAGCTTCTCTTCATTTCAACATTGATTGTTTCCATTTATGATCGTTATTTCCCTTAAAATGCATAAAGGCACGTCAGTTTTTACTTCGATTTGTGTGAAATCTGTGGTTTGAAAACAACAATCAGGTTTTTATCAATGAGCCAATCACTCTACATAATATAAAAGTTCAGATCATCAAAGCTGACTATGCTTCATACCTTTTTTCTTTCTTATCCTAACATTTGCTTCTTGATGGTTATTCTCAGGTCACTCATTGGGTGATAACTAAAGACTCACAGGAAAATTACACGAACAGCTTTCAAGTTGTTTAATTGTGTTGTTATTTTGTCTGAGGAAACTAGTGACAAGCTGTCTGGACCAGAAATCGTGCCTATGGATTGATTATTTAATTTTCACACGCTCACGCATTGTTCTGCGGTTATTCATGTTATTACTGTATCTATACTTTGCTTTCTGTTTCATGAACAGAATGTCATCACTATCCCCTCCTTGCTTTTGAAAATTTTTTAGGAAACAGTTTGTGTTTGAAATTGTTTAGCCTGAAATAAAATCAGAACTGATTTTCAGTACTGAAACTTACTGGCTCTGTGGTACGTGCATTCCAGATGAGTGTGAACATGTCCCTGTTTCTCAGCATCTTCAGAAGTCTGTCTTAGTACGTTCCCTTCATCGTGTGTGTGGTTGTGATATGTCATGTGTAGTTGTGAGATATGTCACATGTGTGCCTAGTTTGTTTTTGACGTTGCTTCCTTTCTCTCCACCTCCCCAGTGTCCCTTCCCATCCAGAAGGTCTCAACACACTGATGATAGTGCCTTGTTAGTGGTAAGAGTTGCCCAAAATGGAGTTTTGCAATAATACTGTCTTTGGAAATCAAAGAATAGCCATTGTACTTTTCACTGAGAAGTTCTGCAAATACCATAACACGTGATGAGCATCAGCAGTCATTGCTTTATAAGTAACCAAAACTGTTTCCCTGCACTACCATCTGTGATTGACCTAGTGTTCCCAAAATCTACAGCTGTAATTCACAAAAGTAAAACATCATGTTGCGAATCTTGGGCAAAGGAAACATAACATAATATTTGTATCTTGAATTTATGTTGTAGTTTCGTGTGCAGCTACCTTATTAATCATTCCTTCAGAATCACTTGTGTGCCAAGTGGTCTCCCCATAACACTTGACTACACAATTGTGTGTTTCACCTTATATTTTATTATGTATTTAAACTACTAGAAATAATCGTGCTTTGGTTTTAGATACATTTTAAGATTGTTCCTCCATTTTTATGTTTTATATCAAAGAAGATATTCACTGGCATGCTATGTATTCTTAATGCTGGCTGGCTTATCCCCTGTCTCAGCAACTAAAAAATGAATAGCACATGAGAGCTCTACAGGCGCGTATCAGCTTGGAGGAGAACTCTAACCATGGATAGAATTGCTTTTGCCATCATGTTTTATGTTATTTTTTTTCACAGAGCATTAGTGAAAATTAGCAGTTCAAAATCTGGTGTCTGTAGCAATTCCTGTGTGCTGGTAACTGCTGACACTGTGCATGCATGATTCGGCATGAGATTCCTGTTCATTTAACATCCATTGTCTGTTCAAATGTCTCTGTGTTTTGTTATTTTCATTTCCATCAAGATGAATAAAGTACATTTTAACTGGGCAGTCCTAAAGATGAATATGTCCGCCAGCCTCTGGAGTTTTAGTAGAAGTTAATTGGCATGAGAAACGATAAATTAATAGAGAATAATATTAAAAGTGCTGAGGATCCAGGCACTGCAGATAAAGCCATCACGTGTGATGATGGCATCCTGTATGGGTGCTGGTTCATGTCCTAGCTGCTTCACTTTTGATCCAGCTCCCTGCTAATGGTCTGGGGAAAGCATCAGATGATGACCCACATGTTTAGGCCCCTGTACCAAAGTGAGAGACCTGGATGAAGCTTCTGGCTTCAGTCTGGCCCTGTGCTTGCTTTTGCAACCATCTGGGAAATGAACTAGCAGATGGAAAATGAACTTCTCCCATTAGCCCCTCCTCAAAACTCAAAACTTTCCCCAAAATAAATACTTTTTTTAAAAAGTGGTGAGAGAGTGAGTTAAGGTTAGGCTTATCTTACACAGTCTCCCATTCCGGGGGTGACACCAAGACCCAATTGGCTAATTGCCTGCCTGTAAGCAGCAGAATCCCACTTGGACACTGTTTCATGCCTTGGATGCTCCACAATGTCCAAAATGTCACATAGCTAGTAAGTACAAGGCTGGGTTCAAATCTAGACCTGGTGACCTGAGTGAGAATCTGGACTAAACATGAAACTTCCCATGCTGTAACTAAAACCGATTTGAGAAACTGAAGGTGAGATTTAATAGATTATAGAGTGATTGATATGGCTTGGTACCTAAACCTATTTGTCTAAAAAAAAATTGGAATTTAGAAAAACAGCAAAAATATCCCAATTATGAAATTTAATTATTTGTGCTGACAGATTTGCTCTTATACATACACTTGTATTTTAGTTGTCATTATTTGTGTCTGTCTAAAATTAGGAGGCCTTAAAAAGCAAGCAGTTTCGGGCCCGGCGCGGTGGCGCAAGTGGTTAAAGGTCCTCGCCTTTCACGCCCGGGATCCCATATGGGCGCCGGTTCTAATCCCGGCAGCCCCGCTTCCCTTCCAGCTCCCTGCCTGTGGCCTGGGAAAGCAGTCGAGGACGGCCCAAAGCTTTGGGACCCTGCACCCGCGTGGGAGACCCGCAAGAGGCTCCTGGCTTCGGATCGGCATAGTATCGGCCCGTTGCGCTCACTTGGGGAGTGAATCATCGGACGGAAGATCTTCCTCTCTGTCTCTCCTCTCTGTATATCCGCCTTTCCAATGAAAAAATAATAAAAATAAATCTTTAAAAAAAATAAAAAAAAAAAAAAGCAAGCAGTTTCTTCTAAATTAGGTGGCCTTTAAAAGTAAATCTCCTATTTGTATGTGAAGTAGTATCCAACCAATAGTGTGCAATACTGCAAGGTCAAATTTTAGATCTTACAATTTTTCACCACAGGCTTCAGCTTGCTTGCAGTTTTAGTCTCTTAATGTGGCCTGCTGCCTCTGGGTGTCCTGGCTGCTGTTGGACCCCCCAGTTTCATTCTGGGTCAGGCTATCCCAGCACTTTAATTCAAATTACTGTTCAGTCCTTGACCACCTGCTGCTCCCTCTGTGTGAAATACTTGGCCCTCCCTGCTGATATCCCTTGATTAAATGTAGCTATCAGGAAGCTGCTTAAATGTCATGTCTTTCAAGATGTAGATTTATTTTCATTCATTTGAAAGGCAGATCTGCATTCACTAATCACTCCCTAAATGCTTGCAACAGCCTCAGGCATGGCGAGGGCAAAGCCAGGCACCAGGAACTCAGTCTAGGTGTCCCACCTGGGGGAAAGAACTCAGCTGCTTGAGTTAACAGAGGAGCCAGAACTCTAACCCAGGCACCCTGGCAGTGGGATCCAGGCATCCCAGTGTCCACTCCTAAATGTTATGTCTTTAAATGTTACATCTCTAAAATGGCCTTTTGCAAATCTGTTGTATTTATGTATGTATACTCAATCCCCGCCATAATTCCTCAGCGAATAAGAATATTACGTGCTCAATAAATATTTCTTGAATGAGCTCATACATACTGTGCTTCTGATAATTTCACACTAAATTGTTTCATAATGAACAGGTGTGATACAGAGACATAAATATTGAATTTGATTTAGGACTTTAAGCTAGTAACATTTAACATCAGTTACACTGACATTCTCCTAGGGCCATACCTCAAGTTCCTGTTGGGTTCCTGTCCTGTCTGAGAGGTAGTATCTAGGCCAGTTTCACTTCTTCTTCCCTCCTTTTTCTCCTTAATGCCAACGTAATGGCTTTTAGCATTTTTATATTTTAGATTGGCAGTAGTTCAAGAATATTTAGTTAAAGTAAGGTCCAAGAAATCCATAGACAGTACAAAAATATATAATATTACTGTTGTCATAATTATTTCATACATTATTTTTTTCAGTAAAGCTTTATTTTTTTTCTTTATTGGAAAGACAGCTTTACAGAGAGAAGGACAGACAGAGGGAAAGATCTTCAGTCTGCTAGTTCACTCCCCATGTAGCCACAAGAAACAGAGCTGAGCCAATCTGAAGCGAGGAGCTTCTTCTGGGTCTCTGGCATGGGCGCAGGGTATTAAGGCTTTGTGCCATCTTCCCCTGCTTTCCCTGGCCACAAACAGTGAGGTGGCTGGGAATTGGAACAGCTGGGATACGAACTGGTGCCCATATGCAACCAGTGGTTGCAAGACAAGGATTTAGCCACTAGGCTATTGCACTGGGCCCAGTACATGATTTTTCTTCATTTTTTCCTATACTAAGGTAAATTTTGCTATGGTAATACATTATGTAATTTTTGTCAAAGGAAAATACTGCTATTAACTCACTAAAAATACAATTTGTATTTATTTTATTGAGCACATACCTTTTCCTAAATGCCCACATGTGTTCATGCTTATTTATCCCATGGTTTAAAAATTTATGGTCTTAGGTTACATTTTTTTAAAAGTATTTACCCAACAAAGACTTTAACAGCCCTAATATTTTCAACATTTTGTTGTCTCAATAGGTAAAGCCTTGTCTAGTATCCTTTATCAGTCTGTCTTTTCTACTCCCCATGTGGCAAATGAGAAAATTGTGGTGTTTTAAATCTCCTATCTGATATCAAACTTATATATCAGACATTATTTCTTATTTTTAATTGACAGTAATATGAATCTTGTGTCTTTTCTATGTGTCTGGAGACACTAGCACAAGAGAGTCTACACTAGGATTGCCAGCTGCATCCCTTAATAGATGGAATTAGTTGTCCATTGATGAAAGGAGAAGGACTCAAAAGGGAGATTGCACCTCATCCTCTGACAGGTCCGTGCAGAATTTCACAGGGTAGAAAGGCGAGTTCACCCTCAGGGCGTCAGGCAGAGGCCCCAAGTCCTGTCCACATCCCAGCCTCTGAATTGAGCTATGATTAATTTAGACTGATCTTTTATAATTCTGTTGTTATTCATGCCAGCTCTGCTCAGTTAGAAGAAGCCCCGTGACGGATTTGTCTGTCCTATGCTAGGATCAGCACAGCGTTTTCCTAAAAATGTTGCTGTTCTCAGCTTTATTTCTTCACAAACTCATTTTTAATAAATTATACTTCTCATTTTTTGGTTAAAATGGTATAAGCTGTTGAGAAAATCCTGAATTATACAGGTGAAGAAAATTATGTTGTGTCAGTTTTGAGGTGTTTCTCCCCCCCAGTGTTTCCTGTCCTATGAGTATCTTAAGCAACCACCTGAGAGTATGTCAGTGAAATATCTCTGCTTTTCTAATGTCATGGACATGATCTGCCTGTCTGACATGGCGCTGACATAAAGGCCCCTTCTGTTTCTTGTCTTTCTCTTTGGAAATTTAGTCGCTGTCAGATTTGAATCAAGTGAGCTGCGCTGCTGGCGCCCTGTCCCATTCTTCAGCCTTCACCCCTCTTAAGGTACTCCGTGTTACTGCAATGCGCCTGCACATTTGGGGAGCAGAGGTTAAGGGAGGTCTTAAATGTCGCAGGGGGTTGATCTAGCAATACTCTGAATTCTAAGACTGCAGTATAAGCTCATGAAACTATTTAACATTCATTCCACTTGAAGTTTTTGAAATACCAGAGAGTCACAGAGCTTACACAAATTTTTTACATTCAGATTCTGTTTGAAATGTCCTTCTGATGTTCTTGTCAAAGGCTGTTCTTGGTCATGGGTTGTTTCACTTCAGTTATAATATGCATAAATTTAAAGTAACTGTTGTCTGTTGCATCTGCAAAATAATTTGAGTCCAAGTTTGTAGAACCATCACTGCCAAAATACCCCACACTAGGAATCAGCAGACTGAGAGGCCCCAAGGCCACGTGTTCTGATAAATGAAGTGTATTAGTTCAATCAGCTCCTTTTATTTTTATATTGTCCATGTCTACTTTCATAGTAATAATTAGAATAATTGTGACAAAGTTCATACAATTTACAAGCCTAACATATTTACTGTTTTTCCACTTAAGAAAGAAATTGCCTTAAAAATTAAATCTAGATTCTAAAATAATTCCATTATATCTTAGTTTTTGAAGACAGGGTAATTGTGTATTTACTGTCATAAGCTATATAAGAAATGATTGATAATTCTGTCAAAAAAGTTCTCTTTTTTTCTGATATCAGTCATAAGTTAATTTATATTGTTTTTTTTGTTTCTTTCCAACATGGAAATTTTCTACTTAAATAACAATCCTTTTGTAAGAAATCTGTTGGGGTACTGTGGGGGTATAGCAGGCTAAGCCTTTTGCCAGCATCCCATTTGGGTTGCAATTCCAGTCCCGGCTGCTTCACTTCCAATCCAGTTCCCTGCTTGTGGCCTGGGAAAGCAGGAAAGGATGGTCCAGGTCCTTGGGACCCTGCTCTTGTGTGGAAGACCCAGAAGAAGCTCTTGGTCCCTGGCTGCAGACCTGCCAGCTGCAGCCATTGCAACCACTTGGGGAGTGAAGCAGCAGAAGAAAGATTTCATCTGTCTCTCCTCTGCTTTTCTAATAAAAATTAATACATATTAAAAAAAAAAAAAGGAATCTCTGTGCTTAAGATAATTACGATGCTATCATTGACTTTCCGTAAATGAACTTAGATCTTTCTACATGCCTTTTTCCTTGTCTGTTAACCTGATTGAACTTTCACAGTTTCTCTACCTTCCTTTTTGGCTCCCCGGTCCCACCCAGGACCACATCCCTCCCTGCAATGTGCCTGGTGCAGATCTGTAAGCACGATTGTTTCACATGTGTGAAATTTGAGTTTAGATTGGGCTTTGCAGTTTTTGGAACACATAATGCTTGCTGTATATTCTCATTCTCAAATGTGGTTGTAATTTTCATCTCCCATGTCTGTTTTTCCCATACATTTAATTTGCCTGCTCGACAGTGTTTCTTCTCTGATTACTTGAATATTTCAAATTCTTACCTAATGTCCTTCTAAATACTACCATCATTCCACCCCACCCTCAATTCACAGCATCTGAAACCTGATGAACCTTGTCTCTGGTCATCATTGAAGAAGCCATACATACCTGGGTGACTCATTTAAAAAAAAAAACGGATTTCTTCCAGGTTAGCCAGCTTTACACAGTCTTCAAAAATGTTCATGGAAAAAACATAATGATGAAAATTCTATACATGGATTTCAAAATTTTTAGTTTAAAAATACCTTTCAAAAAAGATTTATTTATTTACTTGAACATCAGTGTTACAGAGAGAAAAAACTCAGAGAGAGAGCTTTCAGAGACACATAGAGACCTCTTCCATCTCCTATTTTATTTCCCAGATGACCACAGCAGCCTGGGCCAGACCAGGTCAAAGTCAAGATCCAAGAGCTTCAGGGTCTCCCGCATGGGTGGCAGGAGCCTACATACTTTTTTGGGCATGGGCATTGAACCCTACCTAACAAAGTAAATGCCCATGCCCTTCATTAGTAGTTTAAGTTCTTGGCCATTAATTTTGTCTGACCCAATTTCAACTAGACATAAGATTTTAGAAATTATTGAACCCAAAGAGAATGGAACATGGAAGCAGATGTATGCACAGGTTAGTTTTAATGGTGTTCTTAGTTCAGAAATGTCTCAGTTATTATATGGTAAGAGTTATATCTAAATTTAATTGAGTGTCAGCCATAAAAATTTGTTACTCTGGCTTTTGTTGATTCAATTTTCTACCCAAGTCTTTAGCATTTTTAAACCATCCAGTAAAGATTTGCTTTTTAGTTGCCTTGACTATAGTTACCCTTTTGAAGAAGAATTTATGCCAGTTTACCTAGCTTATATAGTTCTCTTGCTCAGTAAGTTGAAGACAACTTAGTTTCAAGTACTGTTTTAAGAAATATATTTGTGCCCCTGGAGCAGTGGCCTAGTGACTAAAGTCCTTGCCTTGCACGTGTTAAGATCCCATATGGGCTCCGGTTCTAATCCTGGCAGCTCCGCTTCTCATCCAGCTCCCTGCTTGTAGCCTGAGAAAGCAGTCGAGGACAGCCCAAAGCCTTGGGACCCTGTACCTGTGGGAAACCCAGAAGAAGTTCCTGGCTCCTAGCTTTGGATCAGCATAGCTCTGGCCATTGCGGCCACTAGGGGAGCAAATCAGTGGATGGAAGAGCTTTCTCTCCGTCTCTTCTCCTCTCTGTGTATCTGACTTTGCAATAAAAATAAATAAATCTTTAAAAAAATATATATATATATCTGTAATATCTTAAACACACTTTTCCACATTAAA